CGCCAAACTTTTCATGTACTTAATTCAATGTATTTGGTTCGGCTCATGAAAAGTTCGGCGTCTGAACTGGGCCTTAGTCAAGTAGAGTTCTTACCGTTTCCATAGGTGGATTAGCTTCGCTAATCCACTGATGAGCGGAAAGGCGTGGAATGGTGATCTGGAAAAAAAAATGGTGCTTTCGTGGAAAAAAAAATTAATCAAATATCAGTGCTAACTTTGCCGGAGCGATTGTTTAGACAGAGTAAAGAACTATCACTGAATCCGACTGCCCAGATAATTCCCTCAGTTGTCCACAATAGTTGTAAGCGCGCTTCAAATCGCAGTGAATATTGGAAGTCGTCTTTATGATTCGGCTCGTACTTGCGTGCAAGGCGATTTGGGGGCAGCTCTTAATCTAGAAATCTTGTATTGGACAAAGTTACTTTGCTGACTGACTTGGGTTGTTTCTATTTACCATCTGAAATCGAAGTACAGTGCCTATGGCGCACATACCTTACTGGCTTTGGGGTCTATACAGGTGACTTGCTCTTTGAAGTCGCAATACACGCGAACTGCATCATGGACACATCCTTCGTTTGGATCAATCCAGTATCTGCCTGGTTATTATTTATAACGTTAATAGTGTTCCTAACTAGAAACGAATGTTCGGATGAGTTAGAAACCCGCAGACTGCTTGCAGTTTGAAGTATTTCTATCGAACACCGGGAAATGAGTACGCAGCAAGGTTTCTAAACAAAAAGCGATTGGGACGAGACATGGAACCCTTTTTTGCGCCCGCGTTCATGTGGATGAGTGCAAGATAAGCACTCTTACGACCCTAAAGGAAACGACCGGCTGAAGTTGATTAAGACACCTAACTGAAACAATGAAGCTATACTTCACAGTCTAATTGCCATATAAAAGCAATTTTCATTAACATGATTATGATAATTTTCTTATTTTCTCAACAACACTGTAGAAATTCTTCCAATTTTAGGCTTAACAACTTCTCATGTATTCGATCGAGTGATTCGTCCAAACTTTACCCTACTTTTAAACCACTAGGTTCCTAAACGGTTCAGTAACTGTTCTGCCTTTACGAAATGTAGTGAAATGAAACAAACAAACACACCAACAAACGAACAAAACAAAAATCTTCATAGTCCTCGTACAAAGTGTTAAGCTGAATTGATGCATTATCACTTGACTGTGCACTTACCACTAGGATATTCAGGATGTTCGAGGTAAAGGTCTCGACAAGACCGTGCAGGATATCGTCTGGTGCCGTTTTGCATTTTGTAGTTATTGAAGACGTAGTTGAAACCTGTCAGGCAGTAGTCAATGGCCTCTGAAGGCTTGTTTATAGAAAAGAAAACCAATCAAACAATCAATACATGAAAGACTTAAACACTAAACAACAACAACAACAACAACATCTTCAATTTCTAGATACAGATATGAATATTTAACATTTGTAATTGTAATTGTAATTTAATATATGTAGCATGTTATAGATAAGGTGACAGTCGTGATCAAAAAGTTCTTGTACAAGTATTTCTGCTGCCCAGCGTCAAAAGTGATATAGTCAGTTTTTCTACACGTAACAAGTACTGTTTTGAACTTCTTTATTGGGTGATGCGAGGCTGGAGTAATGACGGGAACTTTGCTAGGGGGCTAGGCTAACCATAAATTATTTATCAAGAGCAATATTCTTCTCCATAAACGAGCGCTTAAGCCTGTTTTCACTGCATGCTCGTGTCTTAATATTGTTCTGTGTCTTAAAAACTGACGCACTCTTTGGAAGAAAATAACAATTGTGTGGACCGATGCAAGCATTGAGTTAGTTCGCACCCAATACTTGTAAGTAAATAACAGCTTGAACAATTACCTCAAACTGCAACTGGTGTTCGGCAGTGTTCATATCTTTGTTATTTCCCTATAAACAAGTAAATCAAATTATATCGCACAGCAGATATTAAACAAGGGATTAGTGTCTGAAAGTGCTTCTTTTGTGGGTGAATGAAATTTTTACCTGGTGATGTGTATTTCAAAGGAACGGACATCAATCAAACTGAGTTATGCTTAGCTATGACACTGTTTATGGCAAATTAAATTATTTACCTCATTACTGGAGTAAAGGCGTCTGGATGGGCCTTTGTCAGCACTTCCGAGGGTCGCAGGCTACAGATGGTAAGTGGGAAATAGAAAATGTTTCATTAAAATTTGTGTACATTTAAGTCAATAACTTATAAATAAATAAATTACAAATAAAGACCTTGGCAACTCAGCACAAAAGGCCAATTTTCTGCCTAAAAGCAATTTAACATTATCAAAATTGAAAGGTTAATTTGGAACTGCGAATGACACCTTTCCCTTTGTGCAACATTTATGTTATGTAAACATTTGCTCATTGTTGGAAATAAAGAGCTTTATTAATTTTAACCTCTTTAAACATTTCTACATTAAAACACTGAAACTTTCGTTATCATAACCTACCGGTCGATAGATATGGGTTCCTGGGGGACCCTGCAGATACAAAAGACTACTTTTACTCGTTGAGTAGTAACGGTTCTGTTGGGGGAGGTCGGGGGAAGGGGGTGAGTTATGGAAAGAGCATGGCAGGACCATGGCCCCTGTGTTGTGTTCTTGAGCAAGACTGAATGATCATGAAATATATTACCGTAGACTTTGCATACCTTTTCTCCAGGTGGGCCAGGAGGGCCAGGAGGACCCTGTATAGAATATAACATATTCATTGAATTATAAGAAGGAACGCGCAGAGATAACAAGGAATCTTGTCAACAATGCAACGCAACGATGAAACGAGGTAATAAAACAATGCTGTGGTAATAACTTACCGGAAACCCGTCATTTCCCTAAAAGTTTGAAGAAAATAAAATGTTCATATTGCTAGTCAGTCATATTTACACTTGCCCTATACGTTTTCATATAAGCATAATGAAATACATTTTAAGCAGATCAAAGGATGAAAAACAGCATGTATCTTCGTTATATTGATGTATAAAATGATAATGACGACATCAATAAAAGTTAATTTCCTCTATCCCAGATAGTTGAATTTCTTACAAGGTCATGTCGCTGAGTGATCAAACTGAACACTTGATTCTGAAGAATCTCACACAAATGAGCTCAAAAAAGAGAGAAGTCCCCAATCAGCGAAGTGGCAATGAGAATCTTCAAATCAATTTTCAAATCAGTTCTGTTTATTTGCCTTTTTACCTAATATTAGAACCAACCTCAGACAAAATCTACCTAGCTCAGATCTAAGTGTACAAATTGTGTATTAAATTCGAAAAGTGTTTACTTACTGGAGGTCCTCTTGCGCCCTGAAGTGAGAGAAATTCGACATTACAGTGTTAACAAAATAAAGTCTTAAAATATAAACTTAAAGTGTTATTATCACTTGAATCATTGCATAATATTTCTAATCATTGGATATTTTTTGGGCCGATATTTAAATAGGAAAAAAGAGAAAGACTGTAACCTTTAGGAAATAAGCTGTAGCTGTGCAGTAAACTTTCCTTCTACTATGCATAAAAAAACGTAGTACGCTAATTAATTAGTTCATTGCAATTGACCGGCATGAGCTGAAATCCAAGTTGAAATAATGTTTATGTATCTCACGCGGTATATATAGAGTTTACCTTTGTATGCATGCCTTAATAGTAGCACGTACTCACCGGTTTACCAAATTCTCCAGGAGGACCAATGAATCCCTGATTGAGAGAAGCAAATTGATCGTCATTAAAGGCTTTATGGCAAAACCTTTGTTGAGCTTTTCTAAACTTATATCATATCTTACAATTCGAAGCCACATCCAGTACACAGTCATCTAATCTCATCTATGTTGTAGAATAACAAAAAGTATATTCTGTTGATAAAAAATCTTCTTACCTCATCTCCAACAAATCCAGATGGGCCGGGTGGTCCTTGAGATCCCATTACACCCTAAGGAAAAACAAAACAAACAAACAAACAAACAAACAAATAAACACAAACAGATTAGCAAACAAAGAAACAAGTAACGATGAAGCACAAGTATTTTGTTTTGGAAATAGGAGTTTTGTCTCAAATTCACCCTGGGTCTCAGATTTCTTCCGATGCAAGACTCGTTTTCGACGATTCTAAATTCCAAATAAGATCGAAGAAATAGACAGGCAAAAAGGTCTGGAGCCAGGGCAACGCTAACTACATAATAATAATGATAATGATAATGATAATGATAATGATAATGATAATGATAATGATAATGATAATGATAATGATAATGATAATAATTATAATAAAATCTTTATCGCTGTCTTTTGACACGTTTATCGTTCACAAAAAGTATCAGAATACCTTTGAGAATATTTTAGCATTTTACTGCGACAGTTAATTTATCGAACTCTTTTTGGCTATAAACATCTGACAAAATAATATTACTGTCTACTTTCGAGTAATAAGTCGCAGGTGGATTTTGGCTAGATATATGTTTTTTGTCTAGATAGTTGTTATGGCCGGTTTGGGCCTAACATGACCGTCCGAGGCCTTCTAGCTTGAGCCCATCTTGAGCCCAATGTAACACTAAAGGATCGATAGGTGTTTCCAGTCCCTTTGCTCTTTTGTTATTTTAGACCTCTCGAAAGCTTCTTGCCTGCATCACTCACCTTAGGCCCAAAGGGACCTTCCAATCCAGTACGACCAGGTTCCCCTTGCATTCCCTGTAAAGTATGGTAATGTTAGTTACCATGGATACAAAATCTGAAATTTTGTTCCTGATTGACAATGCAGTGAAAAGTCAATCTACTTGCTGTGAACGTTGCTGATGTACCTTGATTCTTAGAACATAAGGCCAAAATACGCTTACGGCTAGACTGGTAATAGGGTTATTTCTCGGTTTTGTTACAGCTTTCCATCTGAATAAGAATTTCAATACAACTGACGGTCTGTACCACTCCTTACTCTGAAACCCTTACTACTAAGGTCCCAGTCGAATGGTGTAGGGTGGTTAAACTTAAAATGTAAGACTATCTCCCCACAATGATTTCTATTAAACTACATGATGAAGACTTTAAATAAACGTCTTAGTTAGCATTTTTTACCAGTTCTCCGGGCAGTCCAGGCATTCCCGGTGTTCCCGTAAATCCAGGATCACCCTAAATGTGCAACGAAATTGAAATAATGTCAAGAAACAACGCAAGGCTCCGCGTATAATCACACAGCTGTAAGCTGTATGATCTTTATGGTTTATATCATTATCCACCATCTTTAACGTCATCAGCGACAACATTGCTATCTTCATCGTAGAGCGATCGTTCCTGAGGACATTGTTTATATTTTTCCTCATTAATTAACAAACTTTGCTCAAAGAAGGCATCAAGCTAACTACGAATTGATATCAAACATTCAAAAGCTTGTGAAATGTACTAATTGGCGAAATGTTTGGTTCTTTGGATGTAATAATAATAATAATAATAATAATAATAATAATAAAATTAAAAAGAATAATGAAACAATTTTATTATCCTGGAAAATAAAATACATAATAGTAATAGTAATAACAACAACAACAATAATAATAATAATAATAATAATAATAATAATAATAGTAATGATACTTTATTTATATAGTGCTATTTCCCTTTAGTTCAATAGCGCTTTACAATAATTACAGTCCAAAGTTTACAATTACAAATTTTACAGTTATATTGGAAGCTAAAAATGATACAAATATAAATATTTCTCGCCGAGAATATTCAAGGGGAAATTAGGATTTAAAAATTGCAAAATATCTGAGGGTAGAAGTTCAAACCCGAGTCGCTCCAAAAGTTTTAAATGCATCGGGCTAAGATTCTTTGGTACAGTTCATCGTGCTGTACACTTACAATCAATATTCAGATGCGATTTTTGAAGGAGTTGATCGAAAAATTGAATCTCTTGTCTAATAAGGCAAATATTGTAAACAAACAGTTCGCTAATACACATGGATCCGTATTTCGGCATACTATGCGGCCTAGAACATGCCGCCTTCGTTTCATCCTCTGAAACCAGACGACGTTGAGTCACAAATTGAACCGTCCTTCTGTTTTCCCAATTCAACCCCCGCAAAAATAGAGAAACTTTGACACGATTGACAAATAGCGATGGCCTCAAGACCAAACAAGCTCAAACATAGTTACCCGACCACGGAAACGAAAAAACAAACAAACAAAAGTGAAAAATAGAATAACTGTCAAAAGTCTGGGCTCAAGGAACATGAAATTTAAAAACTCTCATATTCTCAGTAGAGTATATAACTGACTAATAACAGTAATGTGCACGCATTTGGTGTCACAAGGAGGAAATAAACGGTGATAACTACCTGAATTCCAGTTGGTCCGATTTCTCCATCGTCTCCTCGTGCTCCCTTGGAGCCCTAAATGTTACATCAATTGAACTGAACTTTAACTCTTTTCATATCACTTCATTATGAAGAGGGTCTGGTGCGGGTGCTGAAACCTCAGTTAACAGTTAAATTTTCAACTCTGAAGATTTTTTTGGTGATTACGGACATTCTATCAATCCGTGTAGAAAAGGGGAAGAGCCTGTATTTCGATATTGTTTTCACATCGAAATCTCAGAACAAAATACGATGAGCGTATGGCAATTAGCGAAGAGAATGGATGGTCTGCGCATTTTTCTTCCTTTCTTTCATTCTTTTTTTTGTTTTTTTATTCTTTTTGTTTAATTTTGGTTACCGTTATTTAAACAACTTACTTTTGCGGAGACCATTAAAGCGAAATAAAGCTTGTGATTTTATTTTCACCTCACATCATTAACCAGCTTTGTTCTTACATTCTTATTCGTCAGACTTAGAAGAACATTTGAAACATCCTTCTAGATCTGAAATCGGTGAGTATCTATTTTTTCAGCGTATATGTTCTGTCTATTCGTAATTAGTATAAATCTCTGATTGGCTGCGCTACTCACTATCTATTCTGTTGTACATAGAGAGTGAGCTAGTAACGTAGCAGTGTGCGCTAGTTACCAAAATGACGGCCGCATCTTTGAGTTTTCGAGGTGTCTGTGCAGTGGATTTAGTTTAAATTTTGAACGACTATTAGGTTTATACTAAAACAATTAGATTATTCGCTCTTGATTTCTAGGCGTGATAGGGGCTCGGGCTATGCCCTGGTCAACGATCACGCGATAGAAATCTTGAGCTCAAAATCTAAGGCCCAGGTCAAACGCCGTATTTCACATTAGCCGAACCCAATTCAATTAGACTCATGTGAAGTTCGGCGTTTGACCCAATTAAGTTCGACTGATTTTATTCGAAGCGGCTGAGGCGTTCTTCACGCCCGGCTAGCCGTGAATAACGCCTGAAGACCGACTTTGGGTCAAACGGCGACCTTCACATGAGTCGAACCAAACGCAAAATCAAAGGTCTAAAGGCGCCCTTTTGACTTACCTTGAAAAACCACTGGCCAACAAGACCGCTTTTGTTACTTGTTTGGTGTAGCAGTTCGGTTCGACTGAATTAAGTTCGATGTTTGACTCAAACAGGCGTTCTTTTAATTGCTTGAGTCGGGCCTAATAGAGAATTATTCCCCAGAGCCTCGTACTGAGGTCTGTTGTTTTAGGCTGAATTTTAAAATATCGAACTTGGAATAATGTCAAATATGAAATTAATTTTTCTTATTATATGGCTTGTGTTTGTAGCTGATATAACACACGCTCTGATTGGCCAATTGTAGGGCATTATTCTCTCGTAATGTCAACGGGTCGATTACGGGCCTGCAAAACCAAAGTAAAAAGCCATATAATAAACAAATTATTAAGCTCAAACGTTCGGTCTTTACTGGAAAATCTCAAACCTCAGCCTTGCTGTATATTGAGCTCGCTATCGTTCGGTCATTACGGCAAGGTCTCGGTTTGAGATTTTCCCGTAAAGACCTCACTCTCGGTTAATAATTAGTTCTTATTAACCGAGCAGGAGGTCTGTATGGGAGAATCTTAACCGAGGTCGTGAGTACAGACCGAACGCAGTGAGGTCTGTACACAGGACCGAGG